GAGAATCCACCACTTTCCTGGGCAGCCCATTCCAATGGCTGATTACCCTCTCTGTAAAGAATTTCTTTCTAATATCTAACCTAAACCTCCCCTGGCACAGCTTAAGACCATGCCCTCTTGTCCTACTGCTGATTGCGTAGGAGAAGAGGCCAAGCCCCACCTGCCTACAACCTCCTCTCAGGTAGTTGTAGAGAGTGATGAGGTCTCCCCTGAGCCTTCTCTTCTCAAGGTTAAACAACGCCAACTCCCTCAGCCTCTTCTCATAGGACTTGTGTTCAAGTCCCTTCACCAGCCTTGTTGCTCTTCTCTGCACCTGCTCCAGCACCTCAATATCCTTCCTGAACTGAGGGGCCCAGAACTGGACACAGCACTCCAGGTGTGGCCTCACCAGTGCTGAGTACAGGGGAAGAATCACTTCCCTGGTCCTGCTGGCCACACTGTTCCTGATCCAGGCCAGGATGCCATTGGCCTTCTTGGCCACCTGGGCACACTGCTGGCTCATGTTCAGCTTCCTGTCAATCCAAACTCCCAGGTCCCTTTCTGCCTGGCTGCTCTCCAGCCGCTCTGTCCCCAGCCTGTAGCGCTGCATGGGGTTGTTGTGGCCAAAGTGCAGGACCCGGCACTTGGCCTTGTTGAACCTCATCCCATTGGAACCAGCCCAACTCTCCAACCTGTCCAGGTCTTTCTGCAGAGCCCTCCTGCCTTCCAGCAGGTCGACACTCCCTCCCAACTTGGTATCGTCTGCGAATTTGCTGATGATGGACTCAATCCCCTCATCTAAATCATCGATAAAGATATTAAACAGAACTGGGCCCAACACTGATCCCTGGGGGACACCACTGGTGACCAGCTGCCAGCTGGATGCAGCCCCGTTCACCACCACTCTCTGGGCCCAGCCCTCCAGTCAGTTCCCAACCCAGCACAGAGTGCCCCTGTCCAAGCCATGGGCTACCAGTTTTTTCAGGAGTATATTATGGGAGACAGTGTCAAAGGCTTTGCTGAAGTCCAGACAGACCACATCCACAGCCTTCCCCTCATCCACCAGGTGGGTCACCTAATCGTAGAAGGAGATCAGGTTGGTGAGACAGGACCCGCCCTTCCTAAACCCATGCTGGCTGGGTCTGATCCCTTGTCCATCCTGTAGATGCTGTGTGATTGCACCCAGGATGATCTGCTCCATCACCTATAACATATATATATATATATATATATATATAACATATATGCTCCATAACATATATATTTCCAGATAATTCCACATTATGTAATACCTGAAATATTGAAGCTTACTTACAAAAGGGAAGTAATGGAAAATGTCATCATGTTGGTGTATTTTGGGAAATACATCAAATTTTGTTAATAGTTTGGAGAAAATTTTAAACTGAGGAATACAAATCTAGTTCTAATAACTACCCTATCAAGTATATGTCGGGGGGAAAAAATTCATTTCAAGCTTTTATAAATTATTTTTGGCCCAGTTTAATGCATTTGTCATTGGCCACTGTGATTTAGGACAGTAAACATTTTCACTGTTATCTCTTTACAGAAAGAAGCAAAACATTCTGACCCAAAATTGATACGTGGTGTTACTCTGTTTGGATCTTAACAAGAATGAGAAATTTTTTTCTTTCAGCTCCACTCTGCTCATCTGGTCCATATTTCCACCTAAACTGGACAAATTCTGCAGCCGTTTAAATCCACCCAACCCTGTTGACCTCAACCATACTCTTATCCTGATTTACAGCCTCATTAGGATTTTAACGATGTAAATGGAAGTAGAGTTTGCTCCTAAATCTTCCCTCTAAATTGGAGAGCATGTTCACCTCTGTGTGCAGGATGTGCCTCAAAGAGGGAACACACAGCTAAAACTTGGCAGGCCAGGCCTGAGGTAGAGGGTGGATTTCTTTTTTTTAAAGCTGAGCTCCTACCTTTCACCAGATAAGCAGTGGCACATTCCCCTGTATCTTGTAAAATCTTTAACAGTCCTACACATGCATGTACAAGTGTAGCACTGTTTTTACAAGATAGACTACAATTCCTTCTCACATATCTTTGTGATGAGGGAATTGAGTCATTAGTCTAAATATATTTGGGGGTATTGAAGCTGCAAGACGGCAGGAAGAGCAGGCACTTCCAAGCTCCTGGTACCTGTGGAACAAAAACAGGTCCTGCCATAAAATCTCTAAATGGGTGGCAAATAAGAAAGGATAGAGGGGCTTTATCTATCTATCATCTATCTATCTATCTGTCTGTCTGTCTGTCTCTCCCTCTCTCTCTCTCTCTCTCTCTCTCTCTCTCTCTCTGCCTATCCATACATCTTGCCTTAAAGCTTGTTCCAGAGCTCAGAAAAGCATAATTCTCATTAACGTCAGCGGCCTGAATCAGTTCCTGAAAAAGAAAACACAGTGTATCACTTTCAGTATCTTCTATAAATTTAAGCCAGACAACCTTTGTGACTTCTAACACCCTCTATATTAAACAGTGCTCTGAAAGATTTAATATTTATATTACACAAATCCCGCTGTGTTTAAATTGTTTAAAGGTGCCATAACCAGCATGTTTACTCTGCCCCAATGCTCGCTGTAGCTCGGATGTGTAACTTCTCATAGAGACTCATGTTACCCAAAATCATTCTCCTCCCACCCTCAAAACTGCACCAGAAAAAAACATTTGCCAGAACTTGCTCCAGAAGGTTCATTTCCATATAGCCGTCTCTTAAATAAAAAACTAGGAAAGCAGAATAATGGGGGATCAGAACGACCCTGAGCCATTGGGTCCTTCCAATGCCAATAAATTGTATGTTATATATCATTAATGGAGAATGATATAGAGTTTTATATGCATAAAAGAATGATATATAATAATGCCCCCTCTATGGCTTGGGTCGTGCCTGACCAGGGACACAAAAATCACAAGATTATTAGTGCAAGATCAGGCTGTGCGTCACATGGACAGGTCCAAATAATTCTGCCCAAGAGAAGAGAGTTAAAAATTTCTTCCTTCTATTAAATTAGGGCTGTTTGGGTTTTGAGTTTATTTTAAAACACATTGAAGCTTGATGACTTTTAGTCACAGGTGAAGTGCTGCAGAGTCAAGAAGCAGAAGGATTTTTAAAGATCTTACATAACTTCAGCGATATTTTTAAGCATATTAATTGGCAGGTGCTGCACACAAACACGGAGGTGACTTTCTGAAAGTACAAACCTGACCCTTGAGAACAGCAATTTTATTTTGTGGCTTCTATAAACAACCAGATTCATCACCTGTAAAATCGAAGAAGGTGGTACTCGTTTTTAGAAAGAAGTAATCAGGTGGAAGCTTTGCTCCCCAAAACAAAATGAAGCTGTGAATAGACCAAATCAAGAAGGGAACATGATCAAATTAGGCAGTTTATAAATATACAGTGCACAGGAATACAGCAAGCCTGTGGGTGGTGGGCAGCCCCATCACTCACCTGCCTGTGGATCTCACAGCTGGAAAAGGCTGTGGAAAGAGGTGGAAAAAATCCAAGTGTTTAATAATAGTGCTATGAGTCGCTGCGTTTTAATAATTTTCACTCTTTTGCGGGGTGCAGCCTTAACACGAACACAGAGAAACCCTCAGCTCACACGGGAGCGGGAGGAATCGGGTGCTGTTACACCTCACCTTGAAGGTGACAGGCAGGGCTGTGCAATACCCATGTTTATGCATTAATACTCAGAAACCTGCTTTAGTAGGCTTGGGGTTTTGGTACTTCCCCCCCCCCCCCCCCCCCCAGATGTCTTAATTCTGCTGATGCAAAGCGCGAGTGAAATTACAGGTGCCCATCTGCGGTGCAGGATGCTGATAAACAACTCGCCACTTCGCAGTGGCTGGTCACATCTGAAGCCTTTTGGGATGCAAAAAGTAGTGGAGGATTATTGCAAAACTTCGAGGCACTTGCGTTTGCCATAACTTTTGTTTTTAACCTAAATTTGTAGTTCCCCTCCCCCCTTAGAGGATTTTACTTATTATTTATTTTATATTATACTTATTTAGCTAACCAGCTAAGTCAGCAGCGAAGTAGAGAGTCAGACCTATAGCTCTTGTCAGGAAACTTTTCCAGTTTGACCTTAGACTGAGACAGGCTGGTATAAAACCATGGATCGGTGGATTCTGTTCCATTAATTCCAGCATATTTTAAAACTCCACAACCCTCAGTCCCCAACTCTGACTGAGTTAGCATACAGTATTTGACACCACTGTTCTGTCAGAAAAAAAAGAAGGCATGATAAATTTGAATTTTTTCCCACCTTTAAGTTGCCATAATACTTCCATAACAGAAAATCAACAAACAAATAGAGATGGATAGATGGATCTACAGTACAGACTGTGAAGTCTGTACGGATGGTAGAGTCCCTCACTCTGGCATTTTCTTCTTTGTATAGTTATTCCTGTATGGAATAGGTGGATTTAACATCCAGTTTGATGTAGTCTTCTACCATTTTCAAAGCACTCAGTTAGCCTGTCTTGAAAAAAATCCCTGCTACAATTCAAGAGGCTGTAATGAACTAACATCTATTTATAATATTATTTGCCATTTCTATTTGCCAGCATGTGCACAGAAGCACAAAGGGGGCTTGAGGAAAGTTTCACCCTTTGCATTCCTCGCACACATTTTGAAATCCTTGCAAAATTTCCATCAGGTCACTGTAGCAATAATTATGCATGTATGCAGTTAATGTTCCCTGACTGCTTCTGATCCGCTGTGTCTGTTCTCTTTCTGTGCTCTCCTGTGGAGATCATACAGGCAGGATGGAACACGCAGAGTGGTCAGAACTCCACACCCTGGAAAATCTCTAAACCCTGCTCCTGGAGGAAATATTCCAACCAATGCAAAATAAAAATTTAAAAAACAAAACAAAACACAAAACCCCAACCCTAAATGCTCATCTGCACATTTATTCCCCACCCCCCCAACATTTAGTACGTGTTGTGTTGGAAATATCTGAAATGGCTTTCATGTATTTTCTGTGATTATCCACAATTTCCTGTTATGTAAGGTATCTCTCAGGAGACTTCAGACTCAAGAATAGGTTGCACTGGGAATTATCACTAAGATCTGGCTCAATATGGCTTTTTAGCTCATTGAGCATTGCTGTTGTGCAGAGCACTGTATTTTTCCTATACTGTTTAGTCTGTTTATATAAAATACTCACTCTGAAACCAAGAATGCTCCAAATTCATCCTCTTATGGCACACGTGATCTTTCATGAGAATCCAGTTAAACACACGGGGGTTTGTGCTTTTTTGCTTAAGAGAAGATATTGTCAAGTTGGGTCTGGCTTTCTTCCCCTCCTGTTTGAAGGTCAGTGATCATTTAGGACAGATTTCTATCATGCATTTCAGATGCTAAGGCAGTGTCTGTAGCAGGAGACAGGCCATAATTTATCAGTAAATCTCCAGTTGTTCTCCAAGTCCTTCCTGGTGAGGAGGTGCAGGGAAGCCTAGTTTCATTAAAGCTCCCACTTGATGATGGTAAACAGCTATTTTAGTCTTCAGTTCTACACACTAATCCTGACCCATCAGGAATTATTTGCCTGCACACTGATGGTTGTGGGAAGAGAACTGATCCTTCCCCTTGACCATGTGCTGATGTCACCTTTGGGAACTACCTTGGGAAGAAGCTGGACATGTGCCTTCAAGGGAGCTCCTCCATCCAAGCATAAGACCATCCTTCTTCCACTTCCATGTGTTTATTGTATCACCCCCTTCTCACATTCACACCTGGCAGTTTGTGTTCTCTTACTGTCCTTTCACAGCTGCTGCATTCCAAGTCTGGTCCTCTCCCAGTTTCATCCTGGTGTACTCCTCTTGTCTGTGTTTACAAATGTACATGCTTTTACAAAGAATTATCTGCATATCCAGGGCTTTTCCCCCCATTGTTTCCCACACCTTCTTGCCTTTCTTGACATCATCTACACACAAAATATCATGAGACAACTCCTTCCCAGCTCCATGGCTCAGAGCAGAAATACCTATGGCATTCAGATCTCACCAGTAAAATGTTTTAAGAGATATTTAAACTGTTAAACGAGTCAAATGTATTAAGTTTTTATTAACCAAGCTGGCTAATAACACACAGATTTCCTCTGTGATTTTTTGCCCTACCTACCTGCAGACAACAGGGACCCACTTAAGCTCTGGTTTTAGTCTCTATCCCTGCATTCCAAAAGGAAACAAAGAAACTTTCACATTCAGTCAAAATCAACTAAAAAAACTGTACTTCTGGCCGAGACACATGCAAACAGAACAAAACCAAGATGCGGACATCTTGTTGCACCTTCAGGGGAATCAGGCACCTGTGTTGCGTTGTTGGCCAGTGCCACCCACCCCACACACAGTTACATCAGATCTGACCTTTCCAAGGAGTCTTTCATGACCCTGGCTGCCATGGCTTTGATCCAGAACTCTCCCAGCAAAGCCTGGCTCAACAGTGGCTCCAGTACCATCCTGCACTGTCAGCAAGCAGGGAGCAAGAACCACCAGGATTTACAGCTCTCCAAATCCCGCTGATTCATGGGCACAGCCAGAATTGAATTGTGCCATATCAGTGCTATTCACAGCCCCTCCACCCCTGGAGCAGTCTGCAATATTTCTGAAGACACTGCTGCTGGTCACAGGGGCTGAACGTCACCTGTGCAGCTCCCTCACCACATAGGACCAGAAATCACCACCAGTTTCTCACCCACAACTTTACTCTGGTTCACAGTTGGGATTTTGCTGTGGAAATGTGGTGCCTGGGTAATTTACTGAGTATGGCATCCAGATTTATGGATGGATTTAAGAATAAATATATAAAAATTGAAGGCTGCTGTTCAACGAAAATGCATTTTGGGCTGGTGTGGTGCAGGAACTGCATCCCAGACAATGAAATTCCCTGTTACTATTCACTCCAGGAGCTCCAGGGCTGGATGCCCAGGTGTTCCACTTGACCCTCAAGTCTTTTCTGACTGTGGCTGTGGTACCTCTGTGGACTGGTAAATGATATAATGACCATGGTTAAAGGAGGGGGATACGAGGGTTAACAAGCTGCTGGCATTTCTCCTCTGCTTTGTGGTCTGCAGAGGGAACTTTGTGGAGTGCACAAAACAACCCCAGGCTAATTAAGCATGTTTGGGAGTCCTTACCAGGAGGGAATCTAAACTTAGGCACAGAAGATTTATGGCAAAATGGGGATCCCTCTGGAAACACGTGGTTGCAAAGAGTTCACTGATACTGCTACTGTGACAGGGAAACAAAGATCTCTGTGGCTTCCCAGCCCCATCCCCAGGAGGGGAGCCTGGGACTGACTGTCAGCGCGAGGGCTGAGAGCCCACACCTACAAGCAGCTGGAAGGGGACATTTTAGACTACAGTATTTTACTTAGCCCTTCAGCTCCAAACAAACCCTTTTTTGGGTACCTGTGTTCCACCTTTACCAAATGGAGCCCACCCAGTTTACTTAACACTTCGAGCAATTAAACTGCAGTGCAATTAGTGCTGGTGTTGTGATTGTTCAGGCAGGATCAGGGCTGAGTTGTGCTAAGCTCTTCCAGACGGGTAGATAAAAGTCTCTGATCCACAGAGTAGACAAGGCATTAGTAGAAATCAAGAGATAAAGCTGAAAAAAAAACAAAAGAAAGCCTTGACAGCAGCTCACTTGTCCAGGCTGAGGGGCTGGTACAGAGAAGGGAGCAAGGAAAGGTGGCTCTGCTTGGCCTCACAGAGCACTAACAGCTATTACAGTCACTATCAAAGTTAGAGGAAATTGCATCCATTTTACTGTTGAAACGTACAAAATGTACAAAGCTTTCTCAGCATCCATAAAAAGTTAAATATATTAGAAAACAGAGAACGTGAGCTTGCTGTTGTTCTTCAGCCTCAACTTGTATTCCTTTCAGTGGCGATTTCACCTCAATAAAAACAGAAGGACTCAGGCACAATGTTTTTAATTACTAGTGGCATTTCTAAGCCTTCTGTGGTCAGCGCCCAATCCAAAAAGTGACTTCACTTTTGACTCTGGCAGTACGGATGCTCTGTGCAGGACACAGGCTGCAAACTAGTTTCCATCCTGCTTCAATACTAGATTCATGATCCAAAAGGAACTTAAAACACTTTACTTCAATATTCAGACTTGAAGCTTTCCCTCTGGAAAGGGTTTTATAACCCAGCCATAAAAGACTGCCTTTGAAAGTTGGCTTAAAAGGTCCTAGGAAAGCTGTGGATTTTTAGATTTGAAGCTTCCAGTACTTAACTGTTGAACAAGAAATAAACAAATTGGCAGCTTGCATGACCAAATCTGCCCTGACCAGGTGAAATGAGTTAGAATAGAGTCAACTTTGCATAGCCAAAAGGTCCAGGATACTTCGATGCAGAAACTCTTTCAGCTGTGTTTCCTGCAAGGTGAAACAGGTGGAGATGGATGTTGCTGGGATGAGGGTTTGTGGAGCACGATCCCTGCCCCTTACCTGTGGGGCAA